GGTGGCAGATTTTCGTGAGGGTTTCCTAAACGTGTGACTAAAAAAGCGCGGTAATTTAAAAATGACGCGGCAATAACCATCAAACAGCTGGCCCTGTTGATATGCATTTTTTTTTAATAATTTTACCCACCACTGCCAAATATTTTATAACCACCAAAGAGATTTGATACCATAGATACTCTATGATAAACACACAGTCACAATATGGTGATTGGTGAACGTATTACTGTTGATAACGATAACAACCACGTTATTTTGTTGGTATGTTTACTTCGTTCGAGTTATCTAAACGATTGTTTTTAATGACAACTTTATAACTTTACGGCTTTAGTACGACTTATCAGTGAGTTTTTATTGTGTTTGTGGTTACATTGTATACCTACTTGTCAGAGAAAGAGCGCGAAAAAAAAATTTGAACAAAATGTACATTCGACCCTGACGGTAATTCTCAGACCAAAAGACAATTTTTAATGTGTACAATTTTTTTAAGAAATTATCAAACGACAGAAGTAACCCTGTTGTAGCTACATTTTTTCGAAAAAGTCAGGAAATGACTGCAGAAGCATGTGGTGTTAGTGTTGGTACAGTGAAACGGATAACTTCTGAAGGGGCCAAATCGACTACTGCTGAACCCGTGGCTGGTCCGTCATTTACATCTCCTCGAAAATCATACAAACGAATCAAATATGCAACTGAAATTGATGATTTTGACGCAGATATTGTTCGAAGAACGGTGCACGAATTTTATGATAAAGGTGAGTTTCCCACATCACAAAAAGTTTTAACTGCGTATCAACAAAAAGTGAACAATTATAAGGGATCTAGGATTTCCATGTGGCGCATTCTTAAATCCTTACATTTTAAGTACAAAAATGTAACGAGGGCCGTCGTTTCCTTATGAACGAAACGATATTGTTGCAATGCGTGTCAAGTTTTTTAAGGAAAATGCACGACTTAAGGCAAAAATGATACACGTCCGGTCGTATATCGAGACGAAACATGAGTGAATCAAAATCATTCACGTGAACAATTTGGCAAAACTCAGAGAATACAGAAGGGTTAAAAGTGCCAACTGGAAAGGGCAGTAGAATTATAATTTGTCATGCTGGGTCGAGTGCATTTGGGTTGTAAAGGAGCAAAATTAATATTCCGATGTAAATCAGGGGCAAATATTGATTATCATACTCAAATGAACTCGACAATTTTTAAAAAATGGTTCATTGAAATGATGCAAAACTTGGAAGAACCTTGTGTTATTGTAATGGACAACTGCCCTTACCATTCTGTTCTCGTTCAAAATTATCCGAAATCTAATGACGATAAAGCTACTTTTTCAAAGTGGCTATACAGAAAATGTGTGGAATTTGCTTCATTTGAAACACTCAGTGAGCTGCGAGAACGGGTAAAACTATTAAAACCGAAAGACAAAAGAAATGAACTTGATGAAATTGCTTTGCAAATGGGGCATGAAGTCATACGGCTACCCCCATATCATTGTCAATACAACCCGATAGAGCTAATATGGGCCCAAGTTAAAGGTGAAATTGCAAATAAAAACAACAGTTTTAAATCACAGACGTGAAAACTCGGCAAATATTGCCATAGAATCCGTTACTGTAGACAATTGGAAACGTTGTGTTGATCATTGTGAACGTCTTCAAAATGAAGACTATATTAAAGAAGGATTCAGGGACCAGATTTTAGAGCCAATAGTGTGACGATTAACCCGGACGACAGCAGCGAAAGCGAGGATGACGACGATGAATCACTTCAATTGTAAATATAAATGTTAGAATATTAAAATGTGTTATATTATTGTAATATTAATGTAAGTATCAAAAGAAAATGTAATATTTTATTATATTATAGTAAATAATATAATGTATAATAAATAATAATGTACAATAAATAAAATAATAATTTGTATTCAAATTTTTTAAAAACCATGCAGTATTCCAAATTGCCGCGTATTGTGTGCAAGTTTGAGAACCCGCGGAACACCGAAATTTCGCCACTGTGAGCGCCACTGCGGAGTCGCTAGTTTCGTGAAACCTACTGTAGTACAGATAATATGTAATATTATATTGTTCTGTGTTCTCCGTTTGATAGTTTATGATCGTTGCAGTGTATTGAGCTCTCGTGTGTGGACAACGTGTTTTAACATTTAACACTATTATAGTAAAGTTACGTGTTTTAGTATTTTTTTATTTGGATAGACAGTATGGAATTGAAAATCGATGACAAATTTGAAACTCGAAGAGGTAATTATGTGTTATAATTGACGGCTATAAATTTAGCAAAAGTAGGGAAATTAATGACGAAAATATTTATTTTAGATGTACTGATCATAATTGTAAATCAAGTGTAGTAATTTGTAAAAATATTAAGCAAATAATTTCGGTTAATAATGAGCACAATCATCCACCTATTTCGAACAGTATTATTAATCGTCAAAAATTAACATCTACATTAAAAAGCATTTAAAAGCTACTTCAGATATTTTTAATAGACCTAATAAAATTATACGTCAAACATTACAGACGACTGTTGTTGATATACCTCATTCAGATGAATTCACACAATGAAACCTACATAAAAATAAAGGGGAGGAGGTGTTTAAAAAAGTGTACAAATATCTAAGGGAATACTTTGACCAGTTTCGAGATATAAATTTTCGAAATGGGTACACCCGACCGTGTGCCCGGTAGACACATAATACAGCCTGCCGCGGCTGATTTAGTAGGTAATATAGTTTTTTTAATTTTAGATACCTACATTCGCACGGATTAGTCTGGGTTTTTTTCACCTTTATATTGTAGTGTGTATTAACAATATTAATTGAACCTGATAATTCAGTGGTCTTATCGCGTTACCTATATTTATATGTTTTATTATTTGACTAGCAAAGTAGGTACAATCATTTATATTATGTATAAACAATTATTACAATGGTGTATATGCAAGTATAATATAATTTTAATAATGAAAAACATGTGATATCTGGTTTGCATCGTTGCCATAGCCGACCGATAGGTATTTGATATAAATTTACCAATTTTAAAGATTCTAGTTTGAGTTTTTATTTCAATAATAATTTTCAGAAAAAGATATATTTTAACCGGTTTTTTAACTATGGATCCACGTTTCGGTGAATCGAACAAGCAGCCCGTAGCAGATCGGAGCTGCAATCCCCCTATGGCAAACACTAAGCTGGACAGCGAACTTTTCAACCACATGACCGAGCACCAGGCCAGTTTTCGGGAGTATCCGTGCGCCGACCGGACGCAGCCCGTAGTGCAGTGCGTTCACGAGATCGTGGGTAACTGTCAGGCACTCATGTCGAATGTGACGTCTCAACGTCATGACTACAGGGCCAAGTATCTAATTAGGTTAAAGCGGGCCACCGGCCCTAAGGATACGATAGGCGCCATTCTGTCACAGGACCCAACATTTATGATGGACAAAGGTACGGAGACCTGTTCAAGTCACCAGCAGTGGGAACCACAGTTCCGTGACCCGTTGACAGAGGAACAACCCCCGACCAACGAAAAGAGAAACGATGACAAGTCCGCTGGGTTGGAGGCTGGCCCATTGCAAGATAACAGCGAATGGCAATATTGCAATTTGTGGAGATTACAGCATGGCTTCTGGTAGATATTATCTAAAGTATTATAAAATATGTAAATGCATGAAATTCCTTAAATGAAATTATAAGGATGAAAAATAATTAAAAATATAATTTTTTAATAAAAACGTTGTTTTATAAGGGACTTGAAACTATGTAAAAAAATATCTTCAAAAAATTTACACTTTTTGAAATAATGAGTGTTATTTGATAAAAGAATCACCCAGTATATATATACATTATACCTATATACGGGCAATCGTTTACAGATGTCGATGAGTTTCGTTAATCCCTTTCTTTAGCACTGTGGTATCACCTGTATTGGATAATACGCGGTAAACCAACTTTATACCTTACCATCGTACGCTCACGTGTGTGAAGTTGGGGGACTATAGCTAGGGGACTATTTACTCGGACGACAAGTGATAAGAATCCTTGTACGTTGTGTTGCATTTCATAAAAGTTCAGGGGTGTCGTACCATTGCACCGAAACCGTCAAGTAGATGTCGCCCTATGTTACACAGTAATTGTTGTAAATTGTATTGTTTTAAAATTATATATAAATAATTTCTGTTGGCGTCATTACCACAATAATTATACCGAACATACTGACATAATATTGCCATCATAACGTCATAATGACAAATCAATAATAATGGAAAGTTAGGTTAAAAATTCAAAATTCCTCTAAAGACTGTACAATCTAACCCACGTTATTCAGTTTACCTTTACATCAATTAATAAGAGTTTGAACATGTAATTTGTCTTGAAGTATTTAAAACATCACTTTTTACGGAAACAGGTATGTATAAACTACTGTCTACTGTACTGAATAGTTATAGAGATGTTCGTCTTTTATTCATTATTTAAGTATTTAATACCTATGTCATATTCTGTTTCCCTATCCACACAGTGATGAGTAGTCACCTGAGGCACTAATATTATTGTATTATCATTTTTCCATGGTATGTTTACATCACAGTATATAGAACCATATTTATTGTAAAATATTACCTAATATATTGTCTAAGTTATAATAAATATTAATACATTTATTTGTAATATAAATATAAAAATGTAAGGCTTAATAACTATTTAACTATGTCCAGTGACGCGTTTAGACATTTTGGTACAATAAAAAATTTGGCGCCCTTAAGAGGCCTAACCACTGGAAATATGGGAGATCTTAAATCGTTTTTCCTCAAAAAACAACACATATCCTGAAACGTTTTAGGTTAGCCCCATGTAATTCGTTGTAGTGTTGTAAAGTGTTTAAATGTCTTTTTTTTGTAAGCCATTATCCTTATAATTATACAATTATGTATGTATCAGTAAGTATATTACCAAGATGGTTTTTGCATACTACCTAAACATCATTGTCCATTGTATATTAATATTTCATTGGATAATTACTAATAACGGTTACTTTTTAAATGATTATTGGATACTGTAAAATATGATTACTAATGATAAATAATTCCTTATAGCTTATAGAATTGTATATTTTTTAATTGAGTTTCAGCATGAATAGCGGATTTCAATGCATATGTTACAAAATTAATTTGATGACAAGAATAAATCATTTATCCATTCTAGCTGTCTACATTTACTGTTAAAGCATTATGATCTATGACAAGAAATCATCGTTGAATCTGTTATTAAACACAATCCTGTTGTATCATTTTCACATTTTAGATTTAATACATAAGATTATAATTATGAACCAAATTTTTATTATTACCTAAGTTGAATAAAATGTTATGATTAAAGCATATTATGATGTATAATGATAATTACTAGGACTCGGATTTATATGTATTTATATAAGTATATAACCAAAGTAGGTATTCATACAACAAAAATATGTGCTAAAGAATTCAAAACATGTATTATCAAAAAAAAATATTAATAATTAATAATATAATAAAATGTAATATAAAAAATTATATTTATATAATTATATTGATTACAATTAATAACATTCATTTTTAAATTTTCAAATCCAAAAGATTGACAAATTGTCATAACCTGTTAATAATAATTAATAATAAAATAAAATTGTAATAGAAAAATGTATATTTATATAGTTATCTAATTATCTTTCTTAGTATTTATTAATAATAACATGCACTTTTCAATTTTTGATTCAAAAGATTGTCTATATAATATATAGTGATTGATAACCTTTCAATCATTCTTAACTCTGAAGAAAAGACATTAAAACAGTATAACTGTCTAAATATGTGAGAAAAAAATTGAATAATAATATAATAATAATAATGTGTAAAAATATGTAAATTCAAATATAGCTCGTTTTATCAAAATCTTGTTACACAAATTTATCACTTCCCGTAATTAATAAATTATATAAATCCGAGCTCTAGTAATTACTAATTAAACTACAATAACTTTTAAATCCAAATTTACTATGTAATATGCTGGTGAAACTGTATTTATATGTTTGAAAAAGTGTTACTGGTCAGTACGGACATGGTTATTTTTTTTAGAATAAATAAATTATGAAATTAACTTGGATTATGTTTGTTTGAAAATATGAATTAATTATCATAGTGGCATAATTGATCTACACTTAATATATTTGACATTATTGTATCGATTTGTAATAATTAATAATCATAACTTTATTTAATATGGGTATGCTTAAATTATTTTATTTGTAATAACTATGTCTACTATTGTCACAGTATTCACAAGTTCAATTGCGAATTAAAATAGGAGTGTATAATTTTTGAATATAATATATTTTTGTAATTTTAAAAATTAAAACCTATCTATTTTAAACTTTTCAGGTGTTGTGATCCTGCTTTTTCCGAACCATTTCCGCACAGCAGCATATTGCCTTATTTACAGCAGCATCACATCAACTCTCATAATAGTTGTAGTTAGTATTAGTTGTAATTCTAGTTTTAGCTGTAGTTTAAAAAAAATAGTTGTTTTAGTTTTATGTGTAGTTAAAAAAATAAATAAATAGTAGTTTAGTTTTAGCTGTATAGTTAAAAAAAAAGAAAAATAACCCCAAAAAAAGTAGAAAAATAAAACCCAAAAAAAAGTAGTTTTAGTTGTAGTTTTAATTTAAAAAAAAAAATAGTAGTGTAGTTTTAGCTGTAGTTAAAAAAAAAAACCCCAAAAAAAGTAGTTTTAGTGGTAGTAGTAGTTGTAGTTGTAGTTGTAGTTGTATTTAACAAAAAAAAAGTAGTTTTAAGTATAGTTGTAGTTGTAGTTTTAGTTATAATTTTAGTTGTCGAAGAGTGTAAACTCAGACAGCAAAAAGTGCCGACGAATTGTTGTTAATTCCGACACGAAATAGTCGAAGAGTGTAAACTCAGACAGCAAAAAGTGCCGACGAATTGTTGTTAATTCCGACACGAAATAGTCGAAGAGTGTAAACTCAGACAGCAAAAAGTGCCGACGAATTGTTGTTAATTCCGACACGAAATAGTCGAAGAGTGTAAACTCAGACAGCAAAAAGTGCCGACGAATTGTTGTTAATTCCGACACGAAATAGTCGAAGAGGGTAAACTCAGACAGCAAAAAGTCGAAGAGGTCTTGCTCAGGCAGATAAAAGTGTGAACGAATTTGTAATTCAGACACAGAAAACAATTATTTATAAGCTTAAAAATGAGTTTAAACAAAAAATTGGATGAGGTAGCTCATTATATTAAAAATCAATATCCAAATTTAAATTTTGGAAATGTCTCAGTTTCTGACAGTTGTGTAACTAATATTTGCAATATCATCTTTAATAAAGAAAATGATAAAGGTTTAAAAAAATCAATTGCAAATGCTATCAATAGAAACACTTCATCTCTTCGTAAACGTATTACAAGTATGAACAATACTGATTTATGTAATATGTCAGAAATGAATAGTAAAATAATAAAATATATTGAAGACTTTAACTATACGTCTAGTGATTTCTTAAATTACAATCACATAATTCTGAATGACATATGTAAACACATTAAAGTCACTGTAGATCAAGGTAACCGTATTAAAGTGTATAGACAATGTAAAAAACACTTTGACATGTCTTTGTGTAATCCATCGGATGACACAGACATTATGAATTCAAATAGTGTTTATTTTAATGAAAATTCTAGTATTGAAAATTGCACTTCATATTCTGATCACACAGAGCCTGAAGTAGTGCATAAAGACCACATTTCACTTGAATACATGAGTGTACCGCCCCAAAGTGATTGCAGTTGGATGATAGGAAATCCACTCATACCTTGTAGTACTCCAATTCTACCAGAAAGCATAAGGGTTGAATCTGATTTTGTTACACCGAGTAAATTGGAATGCAGAAAAAATGCTGGACCTGTGGCAAGTCCCCTTAAAAATGCCTATTTTAAGAAAACTCCGGTCAAGTCTGGTGTTGTGCTGCCTTTGAAAACAATAAATTGTTTTCCAAAACAATACGATAGCTCTGAATGTGATTTTTTTGAAGGAACTTTTACATTTTCACGTGTAGAGTGGTCTCATATGTTATACCCACATATTAACGGTGAAAAACGTTTGGAAAAGACTAAATATCCTATTATGTTCAGAAAGCTCATAAGAACTGTAAATAATACATGCGTTGTTAATGCAAAAAGGGTTAGATATTTTGAAAATCATTGCAATGTGTACATGTATTGTACCCATGAGGGGTGTAAGCTTTTTAGAATTAAAGTCCAGCTTCAAGACCAAGAGTTTCTGGCTGAAGTGTATAGTTCTGGTTTAAATTACCATCACAATCCAGAGGACAATGGTCTCACGAACCACGTAAAAGGGATTCAGCGAGACTTACACAAAGAAGCGCTAAAAAAGACTAAAGCGTTTTCCTTCAGGTCGGACGCTGTTGACATGGCATCACCCACTCAGTTGAATTGTGGTAATTTGCAAGGCATTAAATCAGATGACGTCGTCAGAAAAATCAGATCAGAGGCCATAAGTGCCGATGATTATGATAAAGATGATTTTCATGACCTTGTATTGATGTGTAATGACAAAGAAAACAACTTTGTAAAGCATGTCGGCATACCGTCCGTTCACTGTTATAGTAACGAGCAGTTGGAAATACTAAAAAATCTGATTAAAAAACAAAAACCAGTTACTGGGTATTTGGATGCAACTGGTACAGTGGTCAGGAAAATTGACAAGAACAGCAAAAGGGTTCTGTACTATGTTCTAGTTGTTAATGTCCCATTACCTAGAGACTCAAGTGTCACGTGTCCTGTTGTTGAAATGATTAGTTCAGCTCACGACATTATTGCGATTTCACAATGGCTGAACGCTTTTAAAGCATTCGTTTTGAAACACAAACTGACTTGGCCAGTATTCACAAATATCGTGACAGATTTCAGTTATGCCCAAATGAATGCCTTGTGTATAGGATGGAATGGTTTTACTTCCATATTCGACTACCTTAACTGGTGTTACAGAGTATTGGTTGAAAACCACGACGAATCTAATGTCACCATCATAAATATATGTGCAAATCATTACACAAAAATTATAGTAAACCATGTGTACACATATTTTAAATCTGAGAAAAACCATCGTATGACTGTAGAAAAAACGAAAAGAAATGATGTCATTGATTGGATATGTATACTTTTTAACACAACCAGTTTGACAGATGTTGAACAATGGTTCAAAATATTTTCAGTAATACTGTTATCCCCTTATGGTACAGTACACACGAAAAATGCCATTAGTACAATGAGAGCCAAGTGTTATGATAAATACCAATTGCCAAATGAATCGAACAACGAAGGTGAGGATCACTCGGAGGAAATAAATAAATTTCTATGCGAATCCAACACGAGTAATTCCATGATGTTGTGTAGATTTCAGTCAATCAAAGAACAGGTTAAATCTGAAGTCTCAAATTGTGCTGAAAATATTGAAAATTTAAGCATTAATGAATATTATGAAGAATCATATTTACACGAGTTTATAGTTAAGTGTGTACCTTTCTTAGCACTGTGGACACCTATTATGAATAATAAACTCAGCAATGGTATTGAAATCCGCCAGAGTAATGCTACCGTTGAATCTTGGTTTAAAACAGTCAAACAAGACATACTAGAAGGCGACCGTAGGTTTAAATGCGGCCGGTTTTTAAAACTTATGAGACAGCGTGTGACGAATGTACACAAACAAATGAAGTACAATATTAGAAAAGGAAAGTGCACTCGTGCGCTTGATTTTGACACTAAGTCTAAACAGAGTACTACTAAAGAAAATGGAAAAAGAAAAATTTCAGAATTGTCTAGCCTTAACCATTTAGACGAAACAGAGAGTTGGGGAAAAAAAGAAAAACAACACAAACACCTCCAACCCGTCAAGTACCGTCCTTTCAAAGCACTGTCTTTAAAAATCCCTAAGTCTTCGACCACTACAGCAGATAAAAATAACATTGTGGTTATAGAATGTGACAATGAGACTGGGTTCACTGTTGATGAGCCTATGAACAACGACATGGTTGTACATGAATTGAGTAAGCCATTGGACGATTGTTTAACAAAATCAGTTTCGACACCCGGCAGTCATAAATCTCCGTTTCGACTATCAGCGCTAGCTATGGATTTACACAAAAATATGCTCCCCAAAGATTTGGCGTACTATAAACCAATTAAGATGCCAAATAATAAAGATTATATGGTTGTAAAATATCGTAACTTATTATCTAATGTTGACAATTCTAAGTCTAACGTCAAGACCGACCTGGATTTCCCAGAATTTGATTCATTGTCTGGAACAAAGTGGGTGAGTAACTTTGTTATAGATATTTGTTTGCTGTCATACGCTAAAAATCTAAACTCAGAAAACACACACATTTTATCATGCAATACTGTGAGTATGCTGTTAGGAAAAAGAGTAGTTGGGGAAGTGCATGACAAAATTACTTTCAATCACAACAGTATGGTGATACTTCCATGGAATATTGGTCGTACTCACTGGATTGTAGTCTTTATAAATTTCAACACTAGACAGTGTTATATCATGGACCCGTTTAAGCCATATGATATAAGCGAACGAATATCAAAAGAGCGTTTCAATCAAGTAATTAAAATATTGAAATCGGATGTAATCTACGGTGACGGCACACATCAATGTCCACCCTTAACACTGATTCCATGCCCTTTTGAAAATGTTCCAAAACAAATTGACGCATACAATTGTGGAGTATATATCATATATTACGCATTTAAATTTATGGACAATTCCAAGTTCAGTTTAGAGTTTGATCCTAAAGCTTATAGAGAATATTTAAAGACCTATCTATTAGAGAATTCCGAAGACATGACAAACGTATGTTTATACTGTGGCTGGAACTCAGACAGGCACCGTTGTCGACCAAATGATGAATGTGTAGAATGGGTGTCGTGTTCTCGGTGTTGTCGCTGGATAGCCATTAACTGCATCCCTGAAGAAGACAGAATTGTTAATTACGCAATTGATGATTTCTTCTGTTTATTGTGTAAGAAATGATGAAATTAAAATATACAGTAATCATTAGACTAGAGTTAAAGCACGCTACAAATTGCATATCAAAATAGTAATTAAATTACTTAAGTTACTTTATTTATGAACATAGCTTCAAAACACAATTTGTAACCACACCAGTAATGCATTGAATATATTATTTGACTTTAAATTTAATTTATTCATGCATAACTGACAGTCCGAAGTCTGATTCAAAGTGGGACGGCATTTTGTGTTTTACTCAGGTATTTAATTTATATATTTAATGTATGAGAAGTATAACATACTTTATATATTATGTAAACAATCCATTCATTGTAGAAGTCAGAACTTGTATCTTCAGCATAGCTTTTCATCTCAAGTTGTTAGTTCATGACATTTCACTCCATACCATATTTATACACCAATACATTTTCCAAAGTAATATTGTTGTGTATATAAATGCTTATAACTGTAAATAAATACAATTAATACGGTATCAATTATTATGATATGAGTACTCACTAATTTAAGCTGTATGTACTGGGTGTCGTGTTCTTTGTGTTGACAAAATATAGCGATAAATTGCATTCCTAAAAAAGACAGAATTGATAATTATGAAATCAATGATTTCTACTGTTTTCTTTGTAAATGAAAATATATAGAAATTATTACCCTATAGAGTTAAGTAAAGCACGCTACGAATTGCATATCAAAATTATAATTAAATTATTTGAGTTAGTTTCTTATGGACATTTTCATTAGATATTAATTATTGAGAAGTTAAAAACATTACCCAAATCACAATAAGATAAATAATAGATAACGACTGATGTCTGGTACAGTATGTCTCAATAAGTTATGTCAGAAAACTTCAGTAGAACATGTAGCCTAATATCAAACACATTGAGAAAAAAACATTGTATTGTCAAATTGCTATAGCAATATTTTTAATTTGTTCTAAAAAATAAAGTTATTTGATGAAATTAGCACAAAAAAGTAACTCTAAGTAGGTATGTATAAATTACTTTACATAGAAAGGTAAGGTAACTGTTTCAAACTAGTTTTGTAACAGTAACTTGTAACAAAAGATAAGTTGAACCTAGTGGTAACAGTAATTTCATCACAATCATCCGACATGGTTTAAAAACACAATTTGTAACCACACCAGTAATGCATTTAATTTCTTATCTGACTTTTAATTCAATTTATTCGTGCATAACTGACAGTCCGCAGTCTGATTCAAAGTGGGACGGCATTTTGTGTTTTACTTAATTAGTAATCGTTAATAAGAAATGTCTGATGTGTGTGTTGGTGTAATATAAAAACACTTAAAAAATTATGAAATATTCAAACAATATCAATAATAAACAGTTATCTGTATGTAATAATGTATTTAAAACAATAGGTAACGCACCTATCTAATAAGATTATTATCACAGATTTTAGATAACTTTACATTTATAAGATAATGCTTGCATCCTAAGAAAATGTTCTACACAACACATAGGTACCAAGTGTAGTATTATAATATGTAAAAAGAAAATTACACGGTTTTTTCAAAATGCTATTATGATTGTTTCTAGGAATTAATGAAAAAAATATGTATACAGAGTAAATTAAGAAATAACCACAAAAATGTACCAGATTTAATTAATTTTCTTAGCTATATCAAACTAGTCTTGTTACAGTAACTTGTAAAATAAGTTAATCCCAACACTCATTTACATAGGTAGGCAAATCACTAGACATCATTTTAAAACACAATACATTTGTAACCACACCAGTCATGCTTTTGTTTTATTTATTCATGCATAACTGACAGTCTGATATTTCAAGTGTGATGGCAATAAGTGTTTCGATTTGTTTGATTTATATTTAATGTTTAAAAACATACTCACTAGACGTTTCAACAACGATCAGTCCAACATAAAAGGTACAATCAATATGGTAATCATAATTGTTGACATCTCCAAAATACATTTTTGATGAAGTTACATTTCTGAAATAAAAATTTGATTAGAATAATTTGTGGAATTTGTTAAATAGATAATCCTAATCAGTATTTAAAAAGATGAATTTTGTTACCCCAGGTATCCGGGTATTAAGACCTAAAGTTATAGTTTTTCCCCATCGGTATAATATAGATTTAATTGATTCGTATTCAAATTTAATGAAAGCACTAATTACATATTGCTGCATATCATGGTGACAATGAAATGGTGAAAGTTACTTTTTTTTCCAAAAGTATTACTAGACCTTAATTATTAAGAAGTACAAAACATAAATACCTAGGTTATAAAAATACATGATATAAATAATCGATAATGACAAATGTCTGGCAATTAAGAAAGACTCTAGGACGTACACATGTTTAATTACGAAAACTCAAGATACTATTTAAATAATAACTATGACAACTTAGGTCTTAAGTGTTTAGATACTATTTCATAAGTTTTTTAATTATCTCTTGCAGGCTACAAAAATGTTCCCAGAGAACAGATCATCATGATATTATATTGAAAAATATTACTGCTGTGTCAAAATGCAATTATAAAATTGTGGATAAACTTACATTTATATAATATATACTATATAATTTTACACAATGTCAATACAACACTAATCAAACAAAATAAATCAAAAGATTTTAAACTAGCACATACTATTTCCGTAGAGGATACCTACTGCTCAAATAAATGATGTACTGTTAGCTGATATACATTTTCAAAAGCCATAATGCTGTGTGGAAACAATAATATAAATGCTTATAACTGAAATTAAATAAAATTAATACACATTAACTATTATAATATCTATACTTACTAATTTAAACTGTATATGATTCAGACACAATAGGTTTATTTAATGCCTGATTCGTGTTGATGAATACCAATCAGAAGTTTGATAAGAATTACCTCAAGTTGTTGGTTACAAATAGCAGTTATTATGTATATTTACTTTGTATGTATATTCATGTGTTGTTCAGGCCCAGGATGTAGACTAAAATATAAAATAACTTTTATAAAAATATAGTTAAAAGTTTAGATACTGTTGTTTATCATAACCTACCAATAATACATTATTGTAATATTGCACCTAGAAATATTTAAACAGTAATGTAAAATAAAATCTACATAGTAAGTGGATAATGAAGGTTTATGAAATCCATCCTGATAGTCACATCGGAACCAACTAATTTATTTTTTCAAAAAATTGTAAGTATCATAGACATATGTCCTAAACATTTTTACTAAAACTAACAAAATTAGAGTGTTGGTCATTGACAAACGCTTTAAAATTTACAGAAATGTTTAACAATTTTTATAATAACATCTCAAGAGCCTCAGTTTCAAAGTTAGACAATTTTGTCTTGAAAAATTCAAATAAAAAAATCAATTAATCCAGGAGTTATTTCATATTTAAAGCAACTCTTGTTAAAGTTCTTACATATGGACAAATGGTAATGAGAAGTAGATTGTTAATGCTAATTTTTCATACAATTTGTGTACCTGTCCATGAGGGTTTCTCGTGTTGCTCATTGTTTAAGATTGTACTACTGGGTGAAAAGAAATGTATTTCAAGATGAAATTGAATTTCCATTCTCATTCTTCAATTGTAGGCGTATAAAATTTTTCTCGGTATTTCTTCAAACCAAACTGAAGTACCTAAATCATATTTATATAATTTTAGTAATCATACAGACAATTATATACAGGACTATTCTTTTATCATTGAACACTCATTATTTCAAAAAGTATTAATGGTTTTGAAAATATTTTTTTGTATAGTTTCAAGTTGTTTATTAAAAAATCATGTTTTTAAATTTTTTCTAAGTTTTTTACTTTTTTGAATAACATGGAATTTTAATTTCATATTCCAAAGCAGATTTTTTTTCTAAGTATTTTGATACATACAAATCGAATTTGGGACGAGTAGTTTATGAGTTATAAGTATTTAAATTTTAAAGTTTAGATAGTCGGTGAGGAGGGGTACGAGGTACCCCGTAAAATATTTATCCACTACTACGCTTGTCTAAACTTCAAATACTTATAACTCATAAACTACTCATCCTAAATTTGATTTGTATGTTTCAAAATACTTAGAAAAAAAAATCTGCTTTGGAATATGAAATTAAAATTCCATGTTATAGCAAAAAAGTAAAAAACTTAAAAAAAATTTAAAAACATGATTTTTTAATAAAAACGTTTTTTTTGACAACTTGAAACTATGAAAAAAAATATTTTCAAAAACATTAATACTTTTTCAAGATAAATTCAATGATAAAAAAAACGCCATAAATATAAAGTTAAATAAAATTGTTTGATTAAATCTTACAAGGAATATTGAATATCTAGATTTTTCAATAGGAAATTATGATGATGTTCCAGGATGTAGTCAATACTATCATGTAAATGTAGACAAAATTTAAAAATATTGTATTAAATAATTATTATAAATGGATCTCTATATAAAAAATATTAATAATCATATGAACTTACCAGGTGAACAAGTTAATAGAAGAGCTGAAATGTATACAGTATTATTAATATTCAGTTTAATGAATATTCAAAAAAAGATACAAATTTGAGAAAATAACATAGAGAAATTTGCTTTATCAATAATCGTGATTTGTTAAATTTTGATAACAAATTATTAAATATAATTGCGGTAAGGGTCAGGGACGGTTACCAATTTAAATGTTGGACATACAATTGAGGTTATGTTTATAGATTTTATCACGGTCTTAAAACCATAGATAATAGCTAAATAGCATAGACATATGAGACAGTGTCTCTAGACGCTCGTAATAAAAACGGTTTATATCAATACAACTATCATGGATGAAAAACACGGACTAAGATATTTTAGTCCGCGCTGAAAAATATCATATCAGTTTGGTTTGGAATAAACAACAAATTACATTACCACTGGCCGCTTAATTTAAAAATATTAAAATTTTTAATATTATATCACAGAATAAATCAAGAATCAGAATAAATTACTTTTTAAAAGTAATTACTAATTTCTATCGAATAATGCGTTACAGTTTCGAATTATTAGTTACCTACCTACCTATTGCGAATTGACAAAAAAATATATGTATAATGCCGGTATCATTATGTTTACCAATCTAATAACATATAATATATAATATATTTAATTTTTACTCAGCACAGTTCAGTTTTCAATGGATTTGACATTTGAAATGTCTAATTGCACCGTAAATCACGAGAACAGTTAATTAAATTTATTATTTATTTGTTTCTTTTAAATAGGTTGTCTATGAATATAGCTTGTGTGGAAGACTACATTTTATATTATCCTACTATTTTAAATTTTGAACATCTTTATCATTACATGTACGCATATCTTTAAATTACAAGACACCTACAAATTAGTAACTCCAATTAATAAAGTGTAATGATGATCAGGAAATTAAAACACATCGAATTAATTTGTTTTTTATATTTATTAATTTTTTATTTATTTTTAAAAATTTTTTATTGCTGCTGTTGCGGTTGCTGCTGCTGCTGTTGCGGTTGCTGCTGCTGCTGTTGCGGTTGCTGCGGTTGCTGCTGCTGCTGTTGCGGTTGCTGCTGCTGCTGAGCAGCCAGGGCAGCCTCCTCCCTAAGTTTTTTTGCCAGAGAGATGGCCGCTTCTGCGGCTTTCTCTGCCCTGGCTGCTCTCTTTGAAGCCTCAGCGGCTGCATCTGTGGCCGCCGCAGCGGCGCGCTTTGCGTACTCGCAATTTTGGGCGGTATGCCCCCTCTTGAAACAAACTATGCATTCTAGAAAATCAAAGGAATCAAAATTAAAACACATCCATGATAAGTAAATAACCAATTAGTTGGTATCATATGATAATATATACTTACTATTTCTGTTGGGGGCTTTACCGCCACCACGACCGCCGCCGCCACCACGTTTGCCGCCGCCACCACGATTGCCGCCGCCACCACGAGCGCTGCCGCCGCCATAATTGTATATATATGTAGACATCTAAACATAAGTTAAATTATAGGCATAAAGTTTATATAATAGGTACATGAGACAAAATAATTCAATATTTATACACTATACCTACTGTCTATACTACAATTAGTTAGTTATTTTTATCAAATTAATGTTGTTATTTTGGAATATAAATATTACGATGAATAATTTCCATTTTAAAAATAGAAATAATAAATTTAACAATATTTACAACATGATCAATATTAGTTGTATATTCAACCACAATAGGTACGCTGAAAGTTAAATACTTGGTTATCCTATTTACCAATTAATGTAATAAATTTGAATTTATACTAACCAAGGAAAATTAACTGTTATTTTTAAATTGTACAGAATTAAGAGGATGTAACACCGACATTTGTTGTCTCCGTCTTACAAGTGCATAACATAGCACATTTACGCTCAGCAGAACACGTGTAGCTTCGTCAGTTTGAAAATTAGAGTGAATTGACCTATTATGAAACTTAATGGTAAGAACATTATCTATGTTTGTATGTTGGTTTTTTACGATAGTTAAATTTTTTAGCAAGTTATACGTATACAATATACCATAAATTAAAAATGCTCATAACTCACTTAAAAATTTAACCAACATACAAACACAGATAATGTTCTTACCATTAAGTTTCATATAGGTCAATTCACTCTAATTTTTAAACTGATGAAGCTACACGTGTTCTGCTGAGCGTAAATGTGCTATGTTTATGCACTTGTAAGACGGAGACAACAAATACCAGTGTTACGACCTCTTAAATTAGTCTTAAATCTTAATACTACATATTTGTATACAAAATTAAACCAATAATAATAAATCAAATTGTGTTTCGTAATAATATTATTGATGTAAAAATTAAATTATTAGCAATACAATGTGTCATGACAATACTTGTTAATCAAACCAACCAATGTCAAACGATTTCAAAAACCAAAATTAATAATGATTTAATTAAATTGTGTAAAGTAATTTGATGTAATACAGATTTAAAATACAACACGTCCTATACATTGAAGAAATCTCGAAGCAACAAAAAATAATATTGAATGCAAAAGAAATATTTTATTTTTTAAAAAATGTATTTCGTCAAATTGTATTCTTTTAAATATTAAAACGTATTAAAAAATTGAATAGGTACAATCATTAGATTTATTTAAAATGTAATCGGTGTATAAAGATTCGTAAAATATTAAATATATCATATTATACTAGAGTATTAATAAAATAGTTTTAATACTATTCAACATTTTACTTACGACTTTTGACTGTTGAGTGTTGACTCCTTGAGACCAAATTGCAGAATGAATGTTGTCCAGGCAAGGCTCACCTCAACGCCTACGCGGCGGCGGCGGCGGCGGCGGCGGCATAATAAAATAATATTTATTAATAGCGGCCAACGATCGCATTTAATTTTGACAAATTCCCCATACATGTATTGACCATTTTGTGGTTTATCTAGCTATTTTTGAATTATTTCCCCCTATTTTCGGCCGTCGATCATCGCTTATTGTATATTATAATATTAATTATATTTTTAAATTGAATTATTCTTTCTAGCAAGGCACGGTCCCGAGTCCTGACGATCTATTATTGTCATTGTTATTATTATTCAAATAGAATCCGTTTTAAATAAATAAATTATGTTCCCTATACAATACTAAATGTATTATTTGTTATACTGTTATGGTTATTACAATGAATACCTACTTGCAGTCTGCAGTATTCA